CAAAAATGGCTGCCTTGTTCCAACTGGACAACAAAAACATTTAAATGCTCACCAAACGCCTTCGGGCACCAAGCCGACCGTGCGAGGGCTTACCAGCCAGTCAAGGTCGTCACATAAACACCACCAGTTAGTTAGAAATGTCTGTGGCAACATAACACCGGAATGCCCTCAAGGTCATCCGCTGTAATAACTGAGGACTCTAGAAACCGATATTTTGACTTGAATTTAGGGAGCTACCATTGGGGGGGGGGGGGGGGGGGGGGTGCTAGGATGAAATTTGAAAAAAAATAGGCAGGACAGGAGTTTTGAGTTAAAAAAATAGGCAGGACAGGAGTTTTGAGTTAAAAAATAGGCAGGACAGGAGTTTTGAGTAAAAAAAAAGGCAGGATGTCAATTTATGAATAAACAAGTCAGGATCAACTAAAAAAAAAGGCAGGACCGAATAGAGTGAATAATAAAAAGGCTGAACAGAGATAACAACAAAAAAAAATGCAGGACAAGCAGGACAAAATTTTTCATCCTAGCCCCCCCCCCCCCCCCCTCCATAAAAATCAAATGGCAGCTCCCTTAATCATCTTAATCATAGAAATGGTTGAACATGTACTATATGCTTAATTGCAGACTTTCGATAATTTTATTAAGTATTTCGTTTGTGTCTGCGTGTGTACATATGTATGTATGTTCTGTATCTTCCTTCTTTAGTAGGAGCACCACCATGGGTTATGGTGTAAAGGAGGACATTTAACACACTGTATCATTACAGATTTAATGTGAGCATTTGATAGCTAGTATTTGTGTGTGTCTCTGTCCTGTATGTTCTCCCATTTATTTGTATTGTAGTCTTGTCATGTAATCTTGTCATTTTAATGTTATATTTAACATTGCCATAAAAGCGGGAGGTTTGGCTAGCCACAAAACCAGGTTCAACCCACCATTTTTTCTTAAAATGTCCTGTACCAAGTGAGGAAAATGGCCATTGTTATATTATAGTTCGTTTCTGTGTGTGTTGCATTTTAGTGTTGTGCCGGTTTCTGCTGTGTCGTTGTTCTCTTATATTTGATGTGTTTCCCTCAGTTTTAGTTTGTAACCCGGATTTGTTTTTTTTCTCAATCGATTTATGAATTTCGAATAGCGGTATACTACTGTTGCCTTTATTTGCCTACCCAGTTTCCCAGCCTTGTCGTGACGGGTCTTACTACCAGAAAGTTAACCTTTCCCCAAAATAATAAGTACAATGCAATAAAACATACTAACACACCCACTCACCTGATTCGCTCATCCTCAAAAACATAAAAAATGCAAAATATAAAAACAATTATATACAAAAAAGGATAAGGTCACCTATTGAATAATTCGCTGGTGGTGCTCCTAAAAGCGGAGACAACTTAGCCGACAAATCAATAGCGGTGTAAGGTGAAAAATTGCTTGTAAGCATTATGGCCGCAGATGAACATTGGGTAAGGGCAACCTTCTCTAAGAAATTTGAATCTCACCTTTTGATCATTTACATTATTTAATGACAGTGATGATTTATGTTGCATTAATGATGTGGCCACACTGTAGATCATTGCATTATAGTCGAATATATCAGCATATAGTTCGCATTCATGATCAAGTAACTTGAGTTTGGACCGGTTGAGTTCAAGAATGCAGGAAAAACGTCACAGTTAATAAACTTTTTTTAAAGTCTCAATTTTAATAGTAGTGAAATAGATAATTTGATAAATTAAATTTTCAAATGTATTTATTGCGTCTTTTTTATTATAAAGATGTTCATTAGGCAATGTTAGGAATTCTTTTCTTTAAAGTAATTGTAAATCTTTAATTTAATTGAATTTCATTTCTTTTCTCAATGGAAATAGTTACATGCTTGTACAATGTATATGCATATAAATTAAGGAGATTGTCAATGTCAATGAGACTCTTAAGTGACTTCACCTACATTAAGTGACTGCACCTACATGTATTTTGATAGGTTTTCGACCTACGTTTATTCAGAGGTATGTCTCTGGTTTATTTAAAAAAAAAAAGGACAAATGTTTCCATTCTGTTATAATTTTGTAGATGTATCCTTATTAAATATATAGTTTCACAAATTTAATTTTGAATCCATTCTGAATTAAAGATAAATTGGTTTGAACCGACCTTTAATAGATTGGGGAAGATCCTCATATTTGGGTACTATCGCCATTTGTGGGTATTACCTTTGTCTTTACCGGAGTGTTTGTGCCATGACAGAAAAAATCTGTAAATCCAAAGTTTCTATTTTTATCACTGAAAATTGTAATCCATTTTGGGGTATAATACCCACAAATGAGAATAGTACCAATTTATGAGGATCCTCCACAACCTGTTTAAGGCTCTCAGCCACCTAAGATTCTGTAATGAGCAGTCCCTAAATTGCATACATGCTTAACTTATCATCTGTAAAAATTGAATAACTGATGTTTTGTCTGATTCTGAACATTTTATAACTTTTTGACAATATTCCATGCATACTACATGTACTAAGCATTTTGGTTACAGGTAAAAATGGATGTCTGTGACATATTTTTAATTACTCATTTTTAAAAGTTGACTTTTTGTGGACATGGCATACATGTTTCCATAGATTTTACTTTTTCACATGATATTTCATCTGTTGATATAGATAATGTGATTGTTTTGTTGTCGAGCCTGCGACTTTTGTCGCAGAAAGCTCGACATAGGGATAGTGATCCGGCAGCGGCCACGGCGGCGTTAACTAACTACTTTAAAGCTTAATATTTCAGAAGGTAGAAGACCTGGATGCTTCATACTACATGTATGTATATAGATTTTTATGTTATGAAGTTTCCGTCTGTCATATGTCCTTTGTCCTTGACCTCATTTTCATAGTTCAGTGACTACTTGAAAAAAAAAGTTAAGATTTTTTGTAATGTTAATTTCTCTCTAATAAGAGTAATAGGATAACTATATTTGGTATGTGCATACCTTGCACAGTCCTCATGCCTGTCAGTCAGTTTTCACTTGACCTCAACCTCATTTCATGGATCAGTGAACAAGGTTAAGTTTTCTTGGTCAAGTCCATATCTCAGATCACCATTCCAGTCACGTCTCAGTCATTACAGCTGAACGGACGTGCTGGGTCAGCTCTCCTTTACCCACTATCTACGATGAGGGTTTACTGATAGATGGTTCAACGACTTACTTCTTTTGATGACAGAAACCAATCCAACGCTGTACAGTAAACGTTTGTTTTCTATGTAAATACAAGCGTCAGCATACACTCCAATACCCATTATGGTTGGGGAGTGTTATGCCGACTGACGTCCGAGGGCTGTATCCTAGGTGTTGAATAATGGACCTCCATTTCACTGTCTCACGATTTTGGTCCTGATAATGCTTCCTGTCATCGTTATAACTACGTCGAGACTCATCGACCAGTACTCCGTCATCGAGGTTAGCGGGCTGCCAAGCTGACCAATCTGGCCCTGAAAGCAGCCGTTGTGGAGTATGGACTGCAAGAAAACATCAAAAATAGTCAACAAACCAAACCAAAACAATTCACCAAAACCAAGATGGCCGTCTACCAAAATGGCGCTTTCCACCTGTTCCTGACCGACTGCAGAAAATATTTAAACGCTCACCAAAACGACTTCGGGCATCGAGCTGACTGTGCGATGGCTGAACAGCCAGTCAAGGTCATTAAACACTTCCAGTAGTAGTATCTTAGATACTATAAGCAATAGGTCTACTATATTTGGTATATGGAATGATTGTAAGGTGTACATGTCCAATTGGCAGGTGTCATCTGACCTTGACCTCATTTTCATGTTCAGTGGTTAAAGTTCAGTTTTTATGTTTTGGTCTGTTTTTCTAATACTGTATACAATAGGTCAATTATATTTGGTGTATGGAAATATTTTAGGATGTTAATTCTACTGTCATGTATTTCTTAATTAGATATAAGAAGATGTGGTATGAGTGCCAATGAGACAACTCTCCATCCAAGTCAAAATTTATAAAAGTAAACCATTATAGGTCAAGGTACGGTCTTCAACACGGAGCCTTGGAACAGTAAGCTATAAAGGGCCCCCAAAATTACTAGTGTAAAACCATTCAAACGGGAAGTATATTAAAAAAAATACTTTTATGAGTTGTACCCCGCCCTGATAGCCTGCAGAAGATGGTTTTTGATTTTTTTTCTTGGACATCTTAATTTCCAAGAGGAAGTATTATCTTAGAATTTTTTGTTTGGACATTTTTCATTGAAATACATGTAATACATTTTAATAGAACTGAGCTTTGAATTGAGGACATGCTGATGGAAGTGTTCTCTCCAGGGGCCTTATAGCCACATGGTGTTGATTTTTACAAAGATGCTAGCTGGATATAGGTTACTATAGATTTTGTTATGGAATGTATTATAAATTATAAAACAATCTAGATCCATTTCAAATCCCTTGGCTCTAATTAGAAAATAGTTGGGAGAACACCAAGATGGTATAAACCAAACTTTTTGACAGCATCTTTTTTTGGTAAGGATTTACATGAACATGTCTTATTGAAGTTATGCATCCCAATGCAAGTAGCAACATTGCTTGTGGTATTTTTTTTTAATCCTTATTGATACTGACTACTGTACAGAGAGGGACCAAGTCACCAAGGGTGGATCGAGGGTTCAAGGAAAGGGGGTCAAAATTGTCAAAAATATATATATATATATATATATAAAAAATGAGCAAGCGTAGGAAGGAGAATTATTTATTGACAATTTTAATAAAGCAAAAAAAAAATTGATATTCTTTCCAATCAAAGAAGAAAGGGGGGGGGGGGGGGGGGGGGTGCTGCTCTATTAAATTTTTTTTGTATGAACAGAATATAGATTAAGAACACTCCTTGCTTTATTCATTCACATTCACTAAATAGTTAGTGTGATAATTGTTTATAAAAAATAGTCCAGACTTTCCGTAATTTTGAAAACAAGTTGAATAAATAATTTTTCCGAGTGGACAATTTTTATTGACATTATTTGTATACTCACCAATAGCAAGACGTATCTCGAGGCATGGGTAAAGCATCAACTATTGTAAGATATTGATTTTGTTAATTAATTAATTAACCTTTTTATCAGTTTGTATCACTATTTAAGAAGGATCATTCCCTACTTGCATTACATAGCATGATATGTGAAGATAATATGTTAAAAAGGTGACCTTGGTTTGTCAAGTTACAAAGGGGTCTATTCTGCCTTGATTTTAATACCAACTTCCATACTTGGTGCAGTAGCTAATTTGTATTAAGCAAAGAGATGTGAGCTAATGTAATGACCTGACCTGCAAGAAGGTACAAAACTATCAAACTATGCAAAGTTCATAATGTATAATATTTTTTTTTTATAAAAAGGGGGGAGGAGGTGGAGAAATTTTGAAAGCTTCAATAAAAAGTACACTACAAGGAGAGACATTAGTGAGCAGAAACTTACAATAGCTACATCTCAACTAAGGTTGAAGCCTGCTAACACCTGAAAATTAATAGTATTGCTGAAGACCAGATTAAAATGAATGTTCTGCCTCACATATAGGAAATGAAATATTGGGGACAAGACCCCCTCCAAATTCCTTTCAAAGAAAAACAAATTATATTTCTCAGTTTGTTTTTGTAGGTCCTGCATATTAAAAGCAAACAAGAATAACAATGATTATAACATTTAATCAATTAGATCCCTTATATTGTACATCTATTAAAATTAGAAGATGTGGTATGATTGCCAATGTCAATTTTCCACTAGACACCAAATGACCTTAGAAGTCAGCAACTATTAGTCAACATATATATGACTTACAACAATGAGCAAAATCCATACTGCATAGAAAGCTATAACATGTATAAAAGCAGTTGACATCCAAATGTAAAACAATTCAAATGATAAAAAACTAACAACCTGATTTATGTACAAAACAATAAACAACATGCATATACAGAATGTGGTGGGTTTCATGTTTGCAAGTGCCCAAACCCTCCCTTTAATACTAGGGACAGTGGTGTCATAGCACAACACAAGTACATGCTATAAAAATCAGTTGAAAAAGGCTTGACCCATCGGATAGATACATAGGAGACAAAATAAAACTAACAGAAAGACTTATGACGCAAAGTACCATTCCGAATCAGAGAGAACTAGCAGTTACATATACTGATCTTATATGGATACAGGGGTCACCACAGGCTTTGTAAGAACACTGAGGTGCTCCTCTACTCTTAAATATTTATCACCAATCATACATACTAAATGAGGATAATTTTGAGTGACTATGATAAGTTTTAAATTTTGTCATAAAAATAATATACATACACAATGTACATGTATGTTAATTATGCAAGCCAATGTTTGAAATGATACTTGTTAAAAGTCATGCATTTATCGTATACAAAGCTGCATAAGGGGTGGCCCAGGCACCCCTGCTCCCTCCCTGAATCCGTCTCTGGTAGTAGAAAAGTTTTTAGAAACTGACAAACCAAAACCTTAAAATTTAATGTGCAAATCTATGCATCACAGTGATCACATATATGAACATAACCGATCAGTCACCAGTATTTCTGATATCAATTAGTTTCTTGATTTTTTTATACGACCGCAAAAAATTTTTGCGGTTGTATATTGGTATGACGCTGGCGTCGTCCTTGTCGTCCGAAGACAAATTGGTTTTCGCACTCTAACTTTAGTTTAAGTGAATGGATCTCTTTGAAATTTTACCAAAAGGTTCAATACCACAAAAGGAAGGTGGGGATTGATTTTGGGGGTTATGGTACCAACAGTTAAGGAATTAGGGGCCAAAAAGGGGCCAAAAATAAGCATTTTCTAGTTTCCAGACAATAACTGTGGAATGGTGTATGGATCTCTCTGAAATTATACTACAAGTTTCCATACCACAAAGGGATGGTTAGGATTTGCTTTGGGGGGTTATGGCTTAAACAGGTTTAGGAATTAGGGGCAAAAAAGGGGGAAAAACAAGGTTGTCCTGGTTAATGGACAAATACTTTAGTACAAAACATCATTGAAATTATCTCCCTTACACTGCTTTTAAATTATGTATAAAGTAATGGTTAATGAACAATTAAGATAATTTAAAACAGTGTAAGGGAGGTAATCCAAATACAACGTTTTGGTTACTTCCCTTACACTGCTTTTAAATTATGTTTAAAGAAATGCATATTTATAAAGGAAGACCAGTAAAAATATCTGAAAATGTTGCATCTTTGTTTTTTTACAAAATAATCCATATGAAAGATTTGACACTATATTTTAAATTCTATTATAAAATAGATTAAGCTAGCACTATGGTAAATTTAAATGGGTAATTATGGTTGCAAACTCCATTGGAAATTTGAATTGAGATTATGACCATATCTTGAGGGAAAGAATTTTTGGGGGGAAAAAGGGGGGGGGGGGGGGGGGTAAAAGAAATTAAAAAGAATTATTCTTCAAATAATAATTTTTTTTTCAAATTTCAAATATTGAAAAATTTCAAGAAGTAATCTTTAATTGCACAGTTTGGCGCATTAGATTTGTAAAATCTTTGACCACATTTATTTATTTGTTATGCCGAATCTAACCGTGTATTTAGATTTTTAATTTTGGGTCCAGTTTTCAAATTGGTCTACATTAAGGTCCAAAGGGTCCAAAATTAAACTTTGTTTGATTTTAACAAAAATTGAATATATGGGGTTCTTTGATATGCTGAATCTAAACATGTATTTAGATTTTTGATTTTTGTCCCAGTTTTTAAGTTGGTCCAAATTGGGGTCCAAAATTAAACTTGTTTGTTTGATTTCAACAAAAATTGAATATATGGGGTTCTTTGATATGCTGAATCTAACTATGTATTTAGATTTTTTATTTGTTGACCCCGCTATCAAATTGGTTCATATTGAGGTCAAAAGGGTCCAAAATTAAACTTCGTTTGATTTCATCAAAAATTGAATTATTGGGGTTCTTTGATATTCCAAATCTAACCGTGTATTTAGATTTTTAATTTTGGATCCTGTTTTTTAAATTGGTCTACATTAAGGTCCAAAGGGTCCAAAATTAAACTTGGTTTGATTTTAACAAAAATTGAATTCTTGGGGTTCTTTGATATGCTGAATCTAAACATGTATTTAGATTTTTGATTATGGGCCCAGTTTTCAAGTTGGTCCAAGTTGGGGTCCAAAATTAAACTTTGTTTGATTTCAACAAAAATTGAATATATATATGGGGTTCTTTGATATGCTGAATCTAAACATGTATTTAGATTTTAGATTTTTGGCCCAGTTTTCAAGTTGGTCCAAATTGGGGTCCAAAATTAAACTTTGTTTGATTTCCACAAAAATTGTATATATGGGGTTCTTTGATATGCTGAATCTAACCATGTATGTAGATTTTTTATTTGTGGGCCCGCTATCAATTTGGTTCATATTGAGGTCAAAAGGGTCCAAAATTAAACTTTGTTTGATTTCATCAAAAATTGAATTATTGGGGTTCTTTGATATGCCAAAATCTGACCGTGTTTTGAGATTTTTAATTTTGGGTCCCGTTTTTATTTAAATTGGTCTACATTAAGGTCCAAAGGGTCCAAAATTAAACTTAGTTTGATTTTAACAAAAATTGAATTCTTGGGGTTCTTTGATATGCTGAATCTAAACATGTATTAAGATTTTTGTCGAGCCTTCGACTTTTGTCGAAAAAGCGAGACATAGCGATCCTACATTCCGTCGGCGTCGTCGTCGTCGGCGGCGTCCACAAATATTCACTCTGTGGTTAAAGTTTTTGAAATTTTAATAACTTTCTTAAACTATCCTGGATTTCTACCAAACTTGGACAGAAGCTTGTTTATGATCATAAGATAATATTCAAAAGTAAATTTTGTAAAAAAAAAATTCCATTTTTTCCGTATTTTACTTATAAATGGACTTAGTTTTTCTGCCAGGAAACATTACATTCACTCTGTGGTTAAAGTTTTTGAAATTTTAATAACTTTCTTAAACTATCCTGGATTTCTACCAAACTTGGAAAGAAGCTTGTTTATGATCATAAGATAGTATCCAGAAGTAAATTTTGTAAAAAAAAATTCCATTTTTTCCGTATTTTACTTATAAATGGACTTAGTTTTTCTGCCAGTTAACATTACATTCACTCTGTGGTTAAAGATTTTAAAATTTTAACAACTTTCTTAAACTATCCTGGATTTGTACCAAACTTGGACAGAAGCTTGTTTATGGTTAAAAGCTAGTATCCAGAAGTAAATTTTGTAAAAAAAAAAATCCATTTTTTCCGTATTTTACTTATAAATGGACTTAGTTTTTCTGCCAGTTAACATTACATTCACTCTGTGGTTAAAGTTTTTAAAATTTGAACAACTTTCTTAAACTATCCTGGATTTGTACCAAACTTAGACAGAAGCTTGTTTATGATTAAAAGCTAGTATCTAGAAGGAAATTTTGTTCCATTTTTTCCGTATTTTACTTATAAATGGACTTAGTTTTTCTTCCAGTTAACATTACATACAGTCTGCAGTTTAAGTTTTTAAAACATTTATTAGATTCATAAACTATCCTGGATTTTTACCAAACTTGGACAGAAGCTACTTACAATCAAAAGATAGTATATATAGAGAGGAATATTTTTATTAATTTTTTTCCTCATTTTTGCTGAGCCTGTGATTAACAGCAAAAAGTAGGCGAGACACTGGGTTCCGCGGAACCCTTACGAATTTTTGATTATGGGCCCAGTTTTCAAGTTGGTCCAAGTTGGGGTCCAAAATTAAACTTTTTTTTATTTCAACAAAAATTGAATATATGGGGTTCTTTGATATGCTGAATCTAACCATACATGTATATTTTGATTTTTTATTTGTGGGCCCCACTATTAAATTGGTTCATATTGAGGTCAAAAGGGTCCAAAATTAAACTTTGTTTGATTTCATCAAAAATTGAATTATTGGGGTTCTTTGATATTCCAAATCTAACCGTGTATTTAGATTTTTAATTTTGGGTCCCGTTTTTTAAATTGGTCTACATTAAGGTCCAAAGGGTCTAAAATTAAACTTA